CACCTCATAAATGCATACAACTATGTGTTAGTTATACTTTGTTTGAGACAGGGTCTTGCTTTATAACCCAGGCTCAACTTGAACTCATGACCCTCCTGCCTTGGCCTCCGGAGGACCCACAGCACAGGGCTAAAGGGAAAAAAAAAAGGAATGCAAACAATTGTCTAGAACAGAACTGATCCCAAGTGAAATTTACACCAGGGACCTGTCACACTCACATACTCGAATCAGGAAATTTACACCAGGGACCTGTCACACTCACACACTCGAATCAGGAACTACTTTGATGACCTAAGCTGGGGTATGGAGCCAGAGAGCGCGTGAACACCAAGGCAGCTTCTCCCGTGGGCTGTGTCGGAAAGCCACTTCATCACCTGACTGCCTCAAAACAAGAATTTTAGTTCTTATTCATCTGCATGTGGGTCAGGACGGACTACAGCCATGGTTCTCAACATGTGGCTCATGGCCCTTTGGGGCTTGAATATCAGATATCCTGCATGTCAGATATTCACATTACAATTAATTCATAGCAGCAGCAAAATTAGTTATAAAGCAGCAACAAAATCATGTTATGGCAGGGAGTCACCGCAACATGAGAACTGTATTAAAGCATCACAGCGTTAGGAATGTTGAGAAGCACTGGACCACAGACCGAGTGCATATTTACTCCATTTATTTCCCACCCTGTAGGGACTGACAGTTACCCAGGAATGACAGGAACGTAAGAGACTCAATGCCCTGAAGAATTCTATTCTAACATTATATTGCCTAGTGGCTTGGCCCAGCTCAAATTCAAGGGACAGGAAAGCATGCTCCATTCACTAAGGAGGCATAGCAAGGTCACAGATACAGAGGCAGGCTGGGTGAAATGACCTGCCACCACCTCCTGCCTACCCTCTTCTGTTCTCTTGTGCAGTCTGCAGCCTCTTCCTGCATCTTCACATATCTCTAAGAGTATCAGCCTTACGGGGGCAAGACTTCTTTCTGCAGTTCACTGTGGTATTTTCAGAATGCTGTCTCTGTGTTTTGTTCATCTGTCTTTCTAGTACCAATACACACACATAGGGGACAATAAATGGCTGCCTGACTGCCCTGGACCTTACCTTAAGCCTTACAAGTTTCACGATGTTGAGTCTAGCACTCCTGAGCCAGCTTCATTTCCCCAGCTTTGCACAGACATCATCCCCTTTCTCAGTCAGACATGGTAACAAGGAAGAATGTAGGCAGTTCAGTGACAGAGAAGGGGACACGGATAGGCGGACACCTTTAAAAACCCTTCATGATCTAATCATGCCTCCCTGTAGGAATCATGCCTCCATATAGGTTGCCAATATTGTACCGTGATGAAGAGGGCTGGCTTTAGGGTCAGGCAAGTCTAGAGTAAATCCCAAGGCAGCCATTTGCTAACTGTGATGCTAGGCAAGTGTCTGGACACTCTAAATCATCATTTTCTCATCTATAAGATGGCAAGTGTTACCTTCTAGAATCACTGTAGAATAACAGAGATGTTTGTAGAATGGTGGAGAATGGTACAGCCTGAACCAAAGGGGACCACTTCTATCATGACTCTTAAGACAAGACCTTGTCAGCCACACCCTTCTTCATCCTTATACGAATTCCGTATCAGGCTCAGTTAAGTTCTGTTTAGTGGACTGTACTTGAGACAGTCCAGAGTACCCACGGCTGGCAAGCCAGTATAGATCCCTCCAGGTCTGGGAGCAGAGTCACACAGCCTTTCCCAGAACTGTGCCCCTTGCCAGAACCCTAAGGTCTAAAACTCAGAGTGAACCTGGCTGCTCTGTGGTGCTGCTCAGCCATGGAGGCCTGCTCACACCTCTGGCTGTGAAACGTTCTAGAAATCTAGATGCCTTAGGTTTCACAGATGCTCCCTGGGCTGTCCAAGATGAGATCTAAGCAAATTTGACTCCATAAAAATTAAACTAAGGTATACTACATGATTTTATCAGTGCAGGCTTTGGATTCTATAAAGATGTGCAGTGCAGACAAGTTAAAAAATGAGCCACAGAACAAAAGCTAGCAGCATCTCCACAAAGGGGCACTGGCTTCCTGTGGTTGCCACTATTCTAAGTCAGGCTGGTCATGAGGAAGATGTCTGACCAGTTTGTGGGTTTCATCTTAAAAACCTTCCATGTTTGAGATTCTGATTCTTGCTTTCCCTAAGTACTGTACCACAAAGCCATTAAAGACCACCAATAAGACTGTGTTAATAAGAATACCTATTTGGTGTTAACCACACACTCAGTTCCCATAGTGAGAAGCCACCAACATTCCTCATGGCAAGAGCCTCCACACTGAGTTTAGCCGGGACAATGAAGTAGTTTTTATTCATTTGTAGTGAGAGATCTAACTAGTGGTACTTGTGGTGCTGACCATGCCCAAAAGGTGGTCACAGGTGCATATGTGAGTGTTTAGGATTTGGTCTGTGATCAGGGACAGACTTGCGCTCTCTTGGTTTGGGTAGGGTCATGGAGAGCAACTGGGCATGGATCCTCAGAGCTGGAACTTGTGGGTTATTGGTTATTGGTCTCTCATGTCAGTGACCTCTCACCAAATAAAATTAACCTATATTTATCTTAGCCCCATGTATCTTAATCTGTACACCTACACACATTTGTTTTGTAGCTGTAATTATCTCGGTATGAAGTATTTGTGTTGTTTCAAAGCCTTGAGTACAAATTGGTGGCAATTACGATACCCTGAGTTTTGTTGACACAGAAAACGTCATAATTAAGTTCAAGCTTATAGTTCTATGTGATTTTCTTTTTAAAAATTTCAGTAGAAAAAAATAAATTTCAGTAGGAAATCACAAACACACACAAAAACAGGGACTGTGATGAGACCCTTATGTGATGAGCTCCCAACTGACAGCACCCATCCGTCACTCCCTTCGCTCACTTCCTTCCTTCCTCTGAACACATCAGAGATGTCAGAGCACTCACTCCAGACCCATAGGTGTTCAAATCTCAGACTGGCAACAAGAAAAATACAGGAAAAGGCTAGTTCAGAGAAATGCCTGTTTTCCTTTTGAGAAGTCTGCCCTTTGAAGAACTGGAACCCTGGTTAAAGCAGGCCTCATGCCCCCAGCATCCTCTTCCTTCACTTCAGCTACTTCTGTGCCGGCACACACACAGCTCAACTCTAAAGCGCAGAAAACATGCTCACTTAGATGTGCCGAGCCCCAGAATAAGGTTATTCTCAGTGTCTACGGCTGGTTTCTGCATGTACTTCACCATAAGTATATATACTGAGGGGTAGCTTTGGAATTTTTCCCCATTTGCATGCCAGCATTGTCAAGGTCAGTAACGCAAAGTTAAAGCAATAGGAGATATCAAAGACAGAGAGAAAAACCCCTTTCAATCTAAGGAGCTAGACAAGACAAAGAAAAAAAATAAAACAAAAATAAAGACCTCGCCAGAGTAGACTGTACTTCAGCTTCGGAGTACGAGATACCCTTTACAACAGCACGGACTGCGCAAGCACAATTGTAAACAAGAGCAATGGGTCCCAGTGGCCCGGTGTAGCACACTTCACCTCTTCCTGCATGTGAGCAACAACGCCCAGTCTTAACCATCAGCGAGTGACTGCGACGTGCTGCAGAAGCCGCAGGTTAAACAGTTACAGAAGGAGACAGAGGATTAGGGATTCAAGGCCAGCCTGGACCATGTGAAAGCTGGTTGCTAACTAATAAGTGCATGACCTTACAGTCTACCATGACAGTTAACCCTGAGGACAGGCGGATGTAAAGTAAGTCAGCTGAACTGTGGGGACGTACTCAGGGCCCCCAATCCTTTTCAGCAGTGACACTCACCGACAAACACATCCCTGGACTGGAGACTGTGTTCTCTTACCCCATACAGCATCCTCTGTGCTTTATCAACACAGACCCTTCCAGAAGAAGTAGGCACAAAGTAAGAACAGCCCCTCAAACTCAAGACTCTGACGAAAAGTGGGTTTATAGAGCTGGCCTCATTGTGCACAACTGACATTCTCTTTGAAAACAATGAAGAACTCCACTTAGCATCTGAGGTAACACAGACTGAATGCTGGGTGCTTGGCTGACTGCAAATAGCCTCATCAGGAAGCTCTGGTTAGAGAGAGGCAGACTGCAGAGGCCATCTTACTTAAAATCCACTCATGCAAGTCATGTTCTGAGGCACAAACACACGCACCGACACTCAACACCAGCATCTCTACCTTTGTCTGCAGCCACACTAACGCTCAAGTGGAACAAAGGCAAAGTAACTGTGCTGGTTTGGAAGAAAATGGCCCCCAAAGGAAGTGGCACTACTGGGAAGCGTGGCCTTGTTGGAGGAAGTGTGTCACTGTAGGGTTGGGCTTTGAGGTCTCCTGTGAATTAGCAGGTTGGCTCTCCAAGCCAGCCACACCTTACCTCTTACAGAGTGCAGGGAGGATTGGGACATTAAATTTAACACAGAACAGAGGTCAGGAAAAGCTAGCAGAACTTTCTAGAATGCCTCTTCCTCTTCACCCCTGGATGGAGGACACAGCACAGCTCTCATTGTTATGAATAAGTATGGACCACTGGGACAGGGCACGGGGACAGTCTGCACTGAGGGTCTCTGTACTTAAGCATAAGACACACAAAGATACTGGAGAAGCCACCATACTATGGGTTTCTGTTGCTGCAGCTAAATATACTTCTAATGGACACAAAGTTCTCAAATAGAAGCCAAAGTAACAGTTATGGAGACTTACCTTACCTACTCTAATACTCGAAAAAGAACCTTGGCTTTGACAAGTTTGAATTTCCTCTTTCTCAACTAAACATTAGTACCGTACGGTCAGCGCGAAGGGGAGGGAGGTGACAATGGTGAAACTTTAGTGACCTGTGTAAATGAAAGTGGGATAGATGGAGTGGGGCGGGGTGGGGAGCGGGGCGGGGTGGAGAGATATCAGGGAAGCATGAAGAGATCATGGGCCGATACAAGGGTCATCTAAATTATCTTCCAAATGCCGACTTCAAACCATAGAAAACATAGTTTATTCCTCGGACAGCGGAGACTCAAACTTGAGTCTTTGGCCGAGCCTTCACCCTCGGGAAGCTTTCTTCCAGGTCCTCAGCCAGAGCCTTATCGACCGCACGCAGGACTTCCATGAAGCCTTCCACCTGTGAACCACAGAGGACCAAATCACTGCAGTGGAGGAACAGGCAGCTTAAAGGACTGATGGCTAACTGTGAAAACGCTCCTCCTGAGGCGTCCAAAGGCAACAGAGACATGCAGCAGACTCACAGGTGTCAACCAAGGTGCTTCCTGCAGAGTCACTTGACATACTCTAGTAGTGACTCTACAAGTGACGACCCTGACCAGTTCCTTTCACTCCCGAGCTGTCAGACCCTGCCGCTCTCCTGACATTTTATTGTAACCCTCTTTGCTGACAAGTCCCCTTATGTTCCCACTCTACAGTTCATTTTCCTAAAACTATTATTTTCAAATTACCTTCAATGGTAATAAATAGTTATGTGAAGAACCATAAAATGTATTCATAAAAAATAGGCTTGTGGGCCAGGCAGGGTGGTGCATGCTTTTAATTCTACCACTCAGGAGGCAGAGGCAGACAGATCTCTGTGAGTTCAAGGCTAGCCTGATCTACAGAGCCAGTTATAGTCCAGTCAAGGCTAAATAGTAAGGCCCTACCTCACAAGAGAGAAACACAAGAAAAATTTAAGCTCATCAGTTAAGAGAACTGGTCATTCTTCTAGAGGATGTGGGTTTAATTCCCAGCACCAACATAAGCAACTCCCAAGCATCTTTAACTCCAGTTGCAGGGGATCCAAAACCCTCTTCTGGCCTTTGCAGGCAATTGCACACACATGGTACACAGATATACATCCAGGGAAAACACTCATATACACAGACAGAAAAAAAATTTAATTAAAAAATTTAGGCTTTCACTTACTATACGGGCTGTGTGCTTCACAGCAGGAAGGGCCACTATAAACCATGTTGATTACTTCGTCTTGAGATTAGAATTAAATTACGTATAGGTCCATAATTAGAATTACACATACACCAACCATCTTTCCCACTAGACATTAAATCCTATAAGGTATACCATCATTTTTGGCAATAGATTGAGCTCCCTGTACATTCACCCTACTCACCACAGGGCTGTAGAGGGGCAGGAGGCTCTGAAATGCACAGGAACATTTCTTTTTACTTAACTGGCCCTCCTTCAGTCCCTGAGCCACGGTTTCCTAAAACAGACAAAAGAAAACTTAATGCTGCATCTGGCAAACAGATAAACATCAGTACATACAATCACAACTGGTCCTACCAGCATTTCAAACGCCCCACACTGAGCTGCCATGAAGAGCCTGGCGTGTCCTCACACAGCTAATCTCAGTGAAGGGTACCACTCATCCCACTGCCTGAGCAGGAAGGAGAGACACAGGGCCACTAGGCCTATTCTCCTGTTGACTCCTCCCACACACCTTCCTTCATGCCAGGCCTCCCTCCCCCCCAGGCTCTCATTTCCAGACTATTCCTGTAGATTACCACCCTTAAGCCAATTTACTAACCCCTGGCCTCTAGACCTCAACTCTATTTCTTCATGCCTGCTGTTTTTGGAAGAATCTTCTCAAACTGATCCTATCACTTGTTTAAAAAAAGAAAGAAAACTTTAGTTATATCCAAGTTTCCCCCAGATTAAACCCAAATTCCCAGAAGTTTCATGGCATGTCCTTAGGTCCTTAATCAACCCACCTTCCTGCTATCTTCCTGTAACTTAAAGACAAAGGAGCATATTTGTCGTTTCCTCCCAAACCTAAAGCAATGACAAACAACATAAAAAATATCTGAAAGCAAAATAAAAAAGATGCTGTGGATGGGGCTGGTCCTCAGAGGCTCAAACATCTGACTGCTTAGTTTCCAGGGAGTGGCGCTCCATTCGAAAGGATTAGGATTAGGAGGCGTGGCATTGCTGGAGTAGGTGTGGCCTTGTTGGAGGAAATGTGTCACTGTGGGCTTTGAGGTTTCAAAGACCTGTACCAGGTGCAGGGCGTTGGTGGCACACACCTTTAATCCCAGCACTCGGGAGGCAGAGGCAGGAGGATCTCTGCGAGTTTGAGGCCAGTCTGGTCTACAGAGCTACACAGAGAAACCCTGTCTTGAAAAATGAAAAAAACAAATCAAAACAAAAAGCCCCATTGCAGGCCCAGTGTCTCCCTCTCTCTGCAGATGAGGATGAAGCTAGTGCTCAGCTACTTCTCCAGCACCATGTCTGCCTGCTGCCACGCCCCTCCACGACAATGGACTACCCTCTGAGACTGGAGGCACGCTCCCAGTGAAATGCTTTCTTTCGTAAGAGTGGCCTTGGACACGGCGCCTCTTCACAGCAACAGAACCCTGACTAAGACATACGTATTGTTCAAGAAACCCATGTAGAAAGTCTTGAAATGAATCCATCAGGCTAGGGATGTAGCTCAGCGGGGAGGAATCTGTCTAGCAGGTGAGAAGCCCTGGGTTTGACTTCAAGCATCACAATACTACAAAATTTCAAAATGACCTTTATAAAGAGGGAACATGAAAATATACAAACATATGGAAAGGTAATCCAGCTCACTAATAATAAAAAATGTAAATCAAAATAGGGCACAAATTTTCACCTATTAAATTCAATATAAAATTATAATACCCACTAATAAGAAACAAAATCAACATTTTAATGCATCAGAAAACACCAGTATAAATTTTAGTAATTTAGTCTGTTGACATGCCTATTGTTGCATGTGTGCACACACACACAAACCACAGTTACTTTAAGATTACAAGTAGTAACACTTACGTATAAACCAATAACTATCAGGTAGAAGGGAAGAATCTAACTCTTGCAGTTGTCCTCTGACTTTCACACATGTGCACCAGTCCCCGTTTAAAACAAAATTCAAAAGCAGGGCTGAGGCTGCAGTTCAGAGGGATAGCACTTGCCTATCATGTATAAGGCCCCAGACCCCAGGATCACACAGGACAGGAGAGGAGTAGGGAGGAGAAAAGTGGTACAGTGTTTGCCTGGCCACTACATCCTGGTCATCTCTCCATCAGGGACTGGGCTCTCAGTTGTACTGCAGCACAGCTGCCCTTTCCTTAGACGTTATGTGAAGCAATCCATACCTTTTATGGCCAGGTGGTGCTGATGCACACCTCTGATCCCAGTACTGGGGAGGCAGAGAGGCAGGTGGATCTCTGTAAGTTCGAGGCCAGCCTGGTCTACAACGTGAGTTCCAAGGAGGCCAGGGCTGTTACACAGAGACACCCTGTCTCAAAACACATACACACACACGCACGCACGCACGCACGCATGCACGAAAAAAAAATCACCAATACTTGTTTCATACCTTTGTTAATGCCTGAAAAATATTAGAAAGGAATTCACATGAAATATCCTTCAGGATCTTCATATGGAAGTCATCTTGGCTTGAATCACAGTTTGTAGGCTCTTCTGTGGAGTTCTCTGGTTTCTCCTGACAATGTTGCATATTTTGTAACACCCGAATTAGGCTGTCAATTAGAGGAAGATCCACTGCACCGAATCAAGAGAATGAAACCACCCAGGTAAGTACTCATTCTCTTGTTCATTCATTCACTTATCCATTCACTCATACTGAACTAGTGCTACCCATGCTTTAGGGACCATAGGTAGAGTGGTTTCTGCTTCTAGTGCCCGCTTTGATTTCCACCAGTGATTGTCTGTAACTTATAAGGTCAAATAAACTGCTTCCCCACATCCAAGTTGGTTTTGGTCAGTACTGTGTCACAGCTACACACAGAGCTGGAATAATTCCCAATTCCACAGAGCTCCTCTGAAAGGCTTGAAGCAGGCAAGGAGAGAGTTAACAGTGAGGTAAGGAGACAGCTAACTGTGATAGGAGTTAACGAGGATGTCCATATTCTGCCAAAACACAAAAACTACACGGTCTGGAGGCACAGCAGGCAGCAGCAAGAACCAGTCCTGTAACAACAACAAAGGGTCGCTCCTGGTCTCACAGAGAAAAACTCCCCATGGGTTACTAGAAAGATAACACACACAACAGCATGGCAGTACTCATTGGCCAAAGCATGAAAACCAAGAATGAGATAAACACATCTGCAGTAAGAGATAAGGACTCCCTCATTTTCCACATCAAAGCAAGTCCAATGAATCTCCGAGGGTTAGGGGATGAGCGGCTTAACAGCTGACACCACGACATCTGCATTTTTAGCTCAGACCTTGCTCTAGCTCCTGACTTAAAACCGCCTCATCACCTCCACCCGGACACCCCCAGGCAGCACGTTTAAAGTCAGTCGCCCTTGTCTCAGTTTGGACAAATACACCAGAGACCCTTCCCTTTTACCCAGCCACTCCTCCAGTCTCTAAAACGAGCAGCCGGTAGAATCCTGCGCATTCTCCAGTTCCTGCTGCGATCACAGCCGGAGCACTGCTCGAACACCGCACAGCCTGCCGCGCTGTCTCCCTTTTCCCATGACTCCCCACATGTACTGCCCATGGTCCTCCACAGCCAGCCATATCTGTCCAACCTGTCTCACACCGAGGTCCTGTCCCTGCCCTCTACTCCCCGCAGCTGCACTGCTTTCCCTCCTTTCTCTCAAAGGCCACCCTAGGGATACAGAGCCTCACCCCTGCTCCTCCAACAGTGTCCAGTGCTTTTATGTGTGCTAGTCTCCATCAGTGTTGCCTCCCAGGTACTCACACGACAGCCACCACTAACTCCCTCAGGCTGTACTATGGGTCACTTTGTCAGTGAGGTAACCGCTCCATAAACACAGGATTGACACTCAGAAACAGCGCTTATTTATAAAACAAAACAAAAAACTCAAAGGGAAGAGAGCAAGACATCCTTGAGAGGTAAAAACAAGCACCTTATGCCCTGTAACACTAAATGATAAAACTCTAGCGCCATTCCCAACCGTCAGGAAGAAGACAAAGATGTCTCAGCAGGAATCCAATTAGATAAGAAAAAGAAGTCAGAGACAGAAAAATTACACAAGTAGATGTGACTTAATAGCAGATAAAGTTCAAGATTATCATGAGAACTACTACTAAGAACAATAAGACAAAAGCTGGAGAGATGGCTCAGGGGTTAGGAGTACTGGTTACTCTTCCACATGGCCTGGGTTCAAATCCTAACATCCACATGTTGGCTCACAGCCCTTTACAATTCCCATCCCAGGGCATCCAACAGATTCTTCTGATCTCCACAGGCACCAGGCATCTGGTGTACATGTGTGCATTCAGGCAAAACACCCACACACATCAAATGAATAAATAAATAGAATTTAAAAACAATATGACAGGAATGTGGATATAGCTTGGTGACATTCCTACTCATATGTGCAAGGCCCTGGGTCCAACCCCAAGCACAGCAAAATCAAACTACAGGCAAGTCAGTAAAGGTGCTGCAATCAAAATTAACACACAAATCCACAGCCTCCATAAAGTCCAACAATCATCAGTGGAATAAAGTGCAATCAAAATTAACACACAAATCCACAGCCTCCATAAAGTCCAACAATCATCAGTGGAATAAAGTATTTGACAGAGACAGAAATTCAAAAGATAAAATGCGTAGGAATAAACCTAGAATGCAAGATCTGTATGATAAAAAGCCTCAAGCCACTTCTGAAACAGGCGCACACAAATGCATTCCTAGATGTGCCACATTGAACAAAATCCCAACGAAAGCATCAGGAACTGAATGGGGCTTTGAACTTTTGACCCTAATCCAGCACTAAACAAGTTGAACAGTCAAAACCACAGAGACATCCGACTGAAGAGAGACTGTCCGTCCTCACCGGGAACTGAAACACACAGCATCACCACTAACTCGATGTGCCGACTGATCCTGAGTACAACTTTAGGGAGTGTTCCCGATAAAAGCAGGGGACACCTCAGGGCAGAGACATGCTGTTTGGCACTGCTTTCTTCTTGGTGATAGGGACTGAACCAGGGGCACCCTATTACTGAACTGTACCCCTAGCCTTGATGCTTTCTAATAAACTTTATAATAGTTTTGTATTAAGCATTTAATATGTTATGTATTAGGGGAGTAAGGGTATTTTCTTTTTAAATGAAGAAAAACAAAACAGAAACCCAATGAAGAGTACACACTGGCCTGGCACTTGTAATCTGGTGGGTGCTGGTTTAGTCTGAACGGAAAGCACACTCGCCTTCTTCTCTCTTCGGGCGTTCCTGTTCGGCCCATGAAGCGCTGATGGCAGACAGCACAGAGAAGACAGAGGCTAGCACGGTCTTCTGCTCCTGCAGTATGATGGGCGGGTCACCAGCTTGGCAGAACTCATGGCACACCAGGTCAAAAAGTAAATCCCACGTGGCTTTTCCAGTATCAGGACACTGCACTTAAGAAATCATTTTTACAAGCAGCAATTTAAAAATAGTGAACACTTCAACGAGCAACTGCAGTGAGTTCCAAGAAGCCAGCTTACCGATTGCTTGAACTCCATCATCCACTGTGGTAAGCAGCTGTAAGATGTGCATGTAAACATCCAGCCCTTCCAGGGTTTCAGAACTGAGCAGACAGAAACGGCAAAAGCACTCTTAACTTCCCTGTCTAGAGAACAGCAATCATTCATTCACGCAGCAGGCATTCATTACCTCGTACTACAGTGCAGAATGTGAACTGCCAACTGAATAGTCTGTTCACTAGCACTGATGTTAAATGGGGAAAAGAGGTGTGCGTCTACATATGAGTGTGTGAATGTATGAGAGGATGTGTGTGAGCACATATGTATATGAGTGTATGTGTGTGAATGGAGAGTGAGTGTGCACAGGTGTATGTATATCTGTGTATGAGTGTCTGTGTGTGAATGAGTGTGCAAGTGTATGTGCCAGTGTGCATCTACATATGTGTGATACTGATGCTGCTGTGGAGGGATGGGAACCTACAGCACAGACTCCATGGTACTGATGCTGCTGTGGGAAGAGAGATCTACAGCACAGACTCCATGGTACTGATGCTGCTGTGGGATGAGAGATCTACAGCACAGACTCCATGGTACTGATGCTGCTGTGGAGGGATGAGAACCTACAGCACAGACTCCATGGTACTGATGCTGCTGTGGAAGAGAGATCTACAGCACAGACTCCATGGTACTGATGCTGCTGTGGGATGAGAACCTACAGCACAGACTCCATGGTACTGATGCTGCTGTGGAGGGATGAGAACCTACAGAACAGACTCCATGGTACTGATGCTGCTGTGGAGAGAGATCTACAGCACAGACTCCATGGTACTGATGCTGCTGTGGAAGAGAGATCTACAGCACAGACTCCATGGTACTGATGCTGCTGTGGGATGAGAACCTACAGCACAGACTCCATGGTACTGATGCTGCTGTGGAGGGATGAGAACCTACAGCACAGACTCCATGGTACTGATGCTGCTGTGGAGGGAGGACAACCTACAGCACAGACTCCATGGTACTGATGCTGCTGTGGGATGAGAACCTATAGCACAGACTCCATGGTACTGATGCTGCTGTGGAGGGATGAGAACCTACAGAACAGACTCCATGGTACTGATGCTGCTGTGGAAGAGAGATCTACAGCACAGACTCCATGGTACTGATGCTGCTGTGGGAAGAGAGATCTACAGCACAGACTCCATGGTACTGATGCTGCTGTGGGATGAGAACCTACAGCACAGACTCCATGGTACTGATGCTGCTGTGGAGGGATGAGAACCTACAGCACAGACTCCATGGTACTGATGCTGCTGTGGGATGAGAGATCTACAGCACAGACTCCATGGTACTGATGCTGCTGTGGAGGGATGAGAACCTACAGCACAGACTCCATGGTACTGATGCTGCTGTGGAGGATGAGAACCTACAGCACAGACTCCATGGTACTGATGCTGCTGTGGAATGAGATGAGAACCTACAGCACAGACTCCATGGTACTGATGCTGCTGTGGAGGCTGTGGAGGGATGAGAACCTACAGCACAGACTCCATGGTACTGATGCTGCTGTGGGATGAGAACCTACAGCACAGACTCCATGGTACTGATGCTGCTGTGGAGGGATGAGAACCTACAGAACAGACTCCATGGTACTGATGCTGCTGTGGAGTGAGGAGAACCTACAGCACAGACTCCATGGTACTGAGTGATGCCCTTTAGACTTCCCAGATCATCCTAGCTCCCTTGCTGAGAACAACAGGATCATAAAAACCTAATTCTTTGGTTCAACATTTTTTATCCTGAGAACTCAAAATGCTGTTTCTTCAATGAGACAATTAAGTGAAAAGGGTGAACAACTAAATGGCTCAGCTGTGTTTACTTAAGTATCTGTCATTTCAGCGCACTTAACGTCAGGGGCTGGGAAGACAGGGTGTATGTATTAATACGTTACACCCACCTTCAGTGTGCAAATCTGAGAGAAAGGAAGGTGATCAAAGGGGCAGTTACCATAACATGAAATGAATTCAACACTAGAAGCCCAGGCACTAAAAGACCACACACAAATCTAGTGAGGGAAGAGATGATATGAGAAATGGTGTTTCCACGGCAATCTGAGAAGGCAGGTGTTTGTGGAATTGGAGAGATGCCCCGTGCAAAGGCTTGGAGGCAAGAGGGCCTGGTTCATCTACAGAACTGAGTTTCACATAGCTGAAGCAGAAACGAGGATGGACAGGCCTTCTGTTCCAGTTTTGTTTATTTTAAAATCCAAACCATTTCCTGTGGAGCCAACTGAAAAAGAAGCCTGAGCGCGAAATGGGCATGCGCTGCCGACGCAGCTGCAAGGCTGAGGCTCGGGAGAAGCAAGCCAGAGAGTGTGGGACTTGCCCAAGCAAGGGAGAAGAGGCCTGGCTGCCAGCATGGACTGCAGCAGGAGTCAGAGCATGGCTCGGAAGCTGACTGGCCAGGAGGAAAGAGTTGGACAGGGAGGAGTCAGCAAGGGCTTCCCGGCTCGTCCACCTTCTCCAGGTGGGACACTGGCGGCACCATTGACTGACTGGAAACGCTGATGAAGCAGATGTGCGTGTGGTTTAATCTTCATTTGATGGAACATATAAAATTAATAGATTTTAACATCACCTACTAAGTTCTGAGAATATGCTGTTAACATCTAAGCAGGTAATCCAAATGTTAATCTTACAGCTTTTAGTGATAAATTGTCACAACAACCTATAAACTACTGCCTTTCATGACAAGCTACCAAAGGCCCCAAGTCCATCATCTACACAGACACAAGGAGGAAGCATGGAGAAACTAATATGCTCAGTGGAGCTCTTTCATGTTCAACGTAAAACAAAATAAGAAAATCTTTTCTCTCTGACTATTTAAAACACATAAAATTGCTGTCAGTTACCATAGCAAGCTAAACACCCATGATCAAGCCACACTGGGCAAATGCTTTGAACCCTCGTGACTCTTGCAGAGGAACTATGCTACTACCACAACCTAAGAGAGATTGGCTGCATACAGAAACTAAGACTATTCCACCTACGGATGTTTTGAACAACTGAATTTTTCTAGAACATTCTATACAAGAGGTTCCATACCGCACTTGCTTGGCAGCTTCCAGTACACAGGGTACTATCGAAAACACCGGCTGCTCTTCAGAGTCCTCCTGGGGGTGGTCCGGACGCCGTGTAGTCCCATTTCTAATCCACTCCAACATGAGCTTTTCATCCAAGTCAAAGAGCTTGTCCACGACCTCCCCCACCTTCACCAGCAAGTCAACTGCAGTGAAGACAGGCGTTCAATTGAGAACCCAGGCTGAAGCCACAAGGCAGGAAAAGCACAACTCCTCAAGCCGCTCCAAGAGCGAACTCTGCCAGGGTGTCTCCAGCGGCCTGCTTAAACTGCCTCATCCTCCTCCAATGCAAAGTGCCTCCCTGGGGCTGAAGAGATGGCCAAGCCATTAACAGCACTCCCTGCTACTCCAGAGCACCCAGGTTTGAATCCCAGCACCCACACAGCAAGTAGCTCACAACTGTAACTCTAAGGAATCTAACCCCACCCCACACGCCCCTGCCTCTGTACACAGATGCTCTGCACACACCAGCATACAAGAAATACACAGATGTACAAGCAGGCAAACACCCATGAATTTAAAAACCGAAAACATTACATTTTAAAAATGAGAAGTCTAAAGTAGCTTCCTAAGATGTGCTCCAGTCTTTCTCCCTAGGTTACATGGTGACTCACCGTTTGTTGAACTTGACATGATGAAGCAAACACTAGGGTAAATAGATGGATGGTCCCGGATCCTTTCAACCCAGACACTGGCCACTTTGGTCTGGGAAAGGCAAGTAAGCAACAACCTACATGACAAACGTGAGCTCAATATCTACTGAAAAACAGCAAAGCCACCAACAGTCAAGAATTCACTCTGCTTTCCCAGGCCCCCCGATGAGGGATTTGTGGAACCCATGAGGAGAAAGCCTTACTTACCTGCTCGTTTCTAGCAGAGTGGGTGGGTCTGAGTCGCACAAACACTGCAGAAGCACCTGCCTGCAGAGCCACAGTGAGTCATGAGCATCATTGCAAATAACCAGTTTTCATTTCATTTTAAACACCTTTTTTTTTTTGTAAGAGAACGAATAAAGGCAGTTCCTGAATTCTAGAGCAGTGGTTCTCAACCTTCCTAATGCTGCAACCCCTTAATACAGTTCCTCATATGTGGTGACCCCAACCACACAATTGTTTCATTGCTACCTCATAACTGCAATTTCACTATTGCTATGAATTGTAAACATCTGATATGCACCCCTCCAGGGGTCACGACCCACAGGCTGAGCACCACTATTTTAGAGCAAACATTCCTGGTTCTAAGGGACAGAGCAGAGCCGCCCTTCTGCAGCTCTTTGCCCTCAGTGTGTCCGCCCTCCTCTCAGTCCTCTCCACCCAGAGAAGGCAACCCCGGCACCGCCAACAGCCATCCCCTTGCTCTGCTCTATAGTTCCGTCACTCCGTTTCTGATTCTGCGTTGACGTTCATATGAAAGCAGCTACGGCTTTTCCTTTCTTTCAGTTATCTGCGCATCTTTTTAAATCTGTTTTTATTTTTTATTTTTTTTGGTTTTTCGAGACAGGGTTTCTCTGTGGCTTTGGAGGCTGTCCTGGAACTTGCTCTTGTAGACCAGGCTGGTCTCGAACTCACAAAGATCCGCCTGCCTCTGCCTCCCAAGTGCTGGGATTAAAGGTTAAATCTGTTTTTAAGTGACACAACATAGTCACTGTTCACATGTTCTTCGATTCATCAAGGAACACCTTGTGTGTGGATATAATAAAAACAATTCAAGAGGCCCAGGTTCTTGAAGACAGGGATAAACTCTCATGACCCTCTGATAAGAACAATCACTTTAATGTATGCTGGACACAGACTTCTTTAAGATCCTAAGTTAACAACCATGAACCATCACCAAGAAAATGAACGTGACCATCAAACTTATCGTGTTCTCAGATCTACCAACCACCCGAGACTCCACTATTAAAAAGCCCAAAGCTTTCTGGCTTTAGAAGAAAACTAGCCTCTAGGCTTGTCTGACAGTTTTTAATACCAGAGGCAACTTTCTTTTCGTTTTTGTTTTTTTTTTTGAGACAGGGTTTCTCTGTATTACTTTGGAGCCTGTCGTGGCCCCTCATTCTGTAGACCAGACTGGCCTCAAACTCACAGAGATCTGCCTGCCTCTGCCTCCTGAGTGCTGGGACTAAAGTCATGAGACACCACCGCCTGCTCCAGAGGCAACTCTTTATCTTCTGGTCTGTTGGCAAGTTCCATTCCCCTATCTAAGTCAAAATTATCAAGTTTCCCGGACTAGTTCTGATTGCTTGGATTCTCCATGCTTAAACTGTTCTGGATTCTGGTCAGTGGCCCCTAACTCCAAGTTAGGCTCTACATATTCTTTGCCTAGCCCACTTACTCAATGCGATGGCTCATGCCTTACCATGGTTGCACAGGCTCAGTTCTGACTCACAGCCATAGCTAGAGCAGAAGCCTCAGGCATACCAACACAGGTGTCCTGACACAACGAAACACCACATTGCACACTTCAACCTCTCCTGAAACACATCCTGAGAAACAGGGTAAGACTTACCCACGATCCTCACAGCTGCTGATGGACACGCATATCTCCTGGAAACAAGCCATATTCCCTAAAATTCCCACACAGATTTCCTGTCAAATCAAATGACACAGGTCACAATGGCTGGGAGGCAAAAGTCACAAACAATAACAACTTGAACACAAACGTCTATTGAACCAACTTTGAGGGGAGGAAAGGGGGAGGCAGACTATGAAAGTTTACTGCTGGCACCTAGATTTATATATTTGGCTTATACAAGTCACATAGTTGAGACAGAATAAAAGACACAGGGAGGCCCAAAGGCAGAAGTCACCGATGAAGAAATGTTCTAGGAGAAAGGATTCTCTTGATGGAGAGAGTACAGGACACATGAGAAAGCATAAGAGAAATACAGCAGAGGAAGAAGATCAGTATTAAAAGGATTGGACAGTCATGCTCAAGAGTCTAGACTTAATATGGCATGGCATCTGGAGCCACGAAGGTTCTCAAACAGGGAGCAAAACACACTGAAACATGTCCACGTATCATTTCACATAGTAATTATAAAAGAGGCCTGTATTATCTCCACTTTTCAAGCGAGGAAACTGAAGTCCAGGGACGTCAAGCAGCCTGCCTAAGATCTCCCGCTGTTATGTACCAGGGTACTCCCCCAAGAAGACGCGGTTGCTATTATCAACAGGGTGATGGCAGGCATGGGAAAGCAGAGCTGCAGACCCTGAAGGGGATGGTAAACGGTCTCTTAGGAGGTGGAGGACAGTAGAAGGCACAGCTCATAGTCTTGCAGGAGCCTTGGCTTCCCAGTCAGAAGGACTGGTCATATCAACAGGAAACATTAAGATCAAAGGACACTATGCATTCTCACAGGTTTCCAAACTTGCTGGGACACGACACTCAGGGAGCTGGTCAGCAGTTTCCAACCCCCACCAACTCTCCTGAATCAGAATCTCCAAGGTTCAACATCTGGAGCTGGTGCTTACCAAGTGCACCAGGAGTTTTTATGATTAGTGTGATATCACCGAATTAGAACAGAGGATACAGGATTAGAAAATATGCATGCAGGTCAAAAATTCCCTGGAGAAAGTCAGAAGTGACACCAGTTACCAAAAGGGGAGTTGGGGCTTGTGGCATTGAAGGAATAGAGCTGTGGCTTACGAGAGTAAGAAATGGCACTCAGCTGGCCGTGGTGGCACTAAGCTGGCAGCAGGGGCACGCCCCTGCAACCACAGGGCTTTGAAGGTTGAGACACAGACCGCAAGCTCAACCCCGTGTCATAAGCATGCCGGAGCTCATTATGGAAATAAGTATAAAGAGAACAGGGGTGTGCACCATAGACAGAGTCTAGACTCAGGCACAGGGAGAAATAGGAAGGGACAAAAGCAGATGAAAGTAAGAGAGGGACAGAAGAGAGTTGTAGTAAAACACAAGTGGTTCAAACACTGGGAAAAGCGCAAGCAATTCTGGGCAGAAAACACACATTGTCTTATAAACTAGAGAGGAAAGAGTGAACTTTCTGCTGAAGACTAACTTCCTGTCTAGGCTGCTCATGAGAATTCCTGGAAGATGTCAAAAACTATCAGACTCCCACATATGGACATGTGGTCTGACTTTTGAAGGTCCTCCAGGACAAAGTTTTGGAAAAGGTTTAAAGTTGACATCACCTGGGAACACAGTGGACACTTGGGTCTTGCCCTACGTACTGGACTAGACAATCTTGAGGTGGGCTTGGTGCCAGTGATCTGGGACACAGTGACATCTAAGACCAGTGGCCTAGTGATTCCATCATATGGCCAAAGCTGAGAACCACTGTTGTAGCAGGCTGTGGCCACGACACATTTCCAGGAGGGTAGCTAATTCCTCAACTAATCATGACTCATAAAAACAGTAGTATAATCAGGGAGGAAATGCCACAAAACTGTCAACATTTTATGTTAATATAAGGACCCGATATGGATGGAGCATTCCGCTAAATAAAGCTTAATTCAAGGGGCTGGAGAGATGGCTCAGCAGTCAGGAGCACTGTCTGCTCTGCCTTCCTGGCACTCACGTGACGGCTCACAACCATCTATTGAGATCCACTGCCCTCTTCTAGCATGCAGACAAACACGCTGACAAAGCACATACCACTTTTTAAAAATATGAATTCAACATTCAATTTGTAATACGCTCTATGGAATTTTCCACTCTGTGTCAAAGAAAAATGAGCGACAACAGAGTTATACCGGAGCTGGGCACAGGCTCCAACTTCAGCTCCATGTCTACAAGCTGTGTGACTGGTATTATCTTAGTCTGAGACGCACTTCTTTTATCTATTAGGTATGTCTCAGAGGAGGAGTATGTTCATAAACTACAACCACTCAGCACATACTGACAGACAGGCATCATGTACACTGCACATAGAGACAGAAATGGCAGCAGAGCCCAGGACACTGCACCGCTCCTGTGGTCCATTTGCTGTTCTTGGGAGCTTGCTCTCAGCAACGACCACAAGGCAGAAAAGTGACACACTGAGTAACAGGCCAACAGGGAAGGGAAGGCCAGCAAGGGTGACGTGTTGTCACCTGGCGGAATGCACTCAGGCAGTAGCCTGGTCCGCCCAGGTGCAAAGGACCCCTTTAAACGAAAGACCCCGCCCACTTATGCTCTCTTTCCAGCTCTTTCTGCTCTCTCTTTCCTGTTCCTCTCTTTTTCCTCTGTTCCCCTGGGGCAGACAGGGCTTTTCCAGTGTCCCTCTTCTCTTCTCTTCTCTTCTCTTCTCTTCTCTTCTCTTCTCTTCTCTTCTCTCTCTGTGTCCCTGTGCGTCTTTTCTCTTTCCTCCTACCCCCTTTTCTTTCTGATAAAACTTCTCACTAAGCTGTGTCTCCCTGGCGTGCTTGTCCTTCTGCCTAGGCCATCCTCGCCTGCCATGGAACTTGCCAAGGCTCATCACAATTTATCATAACAGACAGAACGCAGACAGCCCTCCACCAGAAAGAGCATTAGGGTAGATTTTACATGGGAGAGTTCTCACAGTCAGACTTTGGGAGTCCTGAGCAACATCAGCTTTAACAGGTTTCCAGGCAATGGAGGGCTTTGTGAATAAAAAGAACAAGGAACTGAGAAATAAACAGCAGGCCTAGGCGCCGTTGGCTTGTTCTGTCACATATTAGCAGCCAAGCATGGTTACGCCTACCTCATTTCCACAGCTATTAAATCAAGTTACTGATCTCCCTAATCTAATCTGAACCTCAAATTCTACATATCTAGTCATTTCAAGGAGTGCATTACCTAAGAATATTCAGTAAGTATTTGCACACCCATTTGCTGGCTTGTAGCCAGTAAGCAAAACAAGAGAAAAGAACCATACATACTTACTCTTAATCGGGGACACTTGGATTTGGCCAGCACGCCAATGAATATGTCAGGAGCCTTAAATTCTTGGAGAAATAAAGCCACATCCTACAGACAAAAACCATCAGCAGTTTAGATGCTGCAAATTGCTCATGCTCCATAGCTCAGACAACCCTAACCGTTTAATGAGAAAGGGATATGGGGAAAGGGTCAACTCCTAAATTTCCCTGTAAGACCTTAAAACTGAGACAGTTGCTCCTGTAGGGACTTGGGTTTCAATTAACAGAAAAAAAAAATCTGATCACAATGTAACTACAACAGCCTGGAACTTTCTCCCTAGATATTTTGTTCTACCCATATCACCTAAAGGGGCATACCGCATAGGTGAACCTAGAGTGGACACATGACCCAAAGAGATGGCTCTCACCTAGGAATGTAAGGTACAAAAGCTAAATCTGTTAACTGTGAGATATGTCTATTATAAAACATACAACACATAAAAAAGTTTCAACCAATTATGACTATGTATGTATGTATGTCAGTGGCCCCATGAAATTTACTGCCTAGTGAAGCCATAACTATCTTAGTTCATATTTATGTTAAATACACTATGATGTCCATAGGATGAAACTGTATAAATGTTCAAGATACTTTTTAACATTAATAGCTGCTGGGACTTCATACCCTGAACCACAAACTGGACCGACTACAGGCACTGACTCAGGCCTTTTCTAGTGAAGGAATGAATCTTTTTAAACTATCCTCACTCTCGAGTCTCTTCAGAATGTCACTTCCATCCTCATACCTCATCCATGGACATGTCCCAGACTCTGCAGATTTCATTCTCCATGTCTTCAGCAAGTTCCATCTGTTGCTCATCATCATCCGAGCTGGACTTGTCGCTTTCAGGTGTGACAATCTTCAGAAACATAAAGAAAGAAGATCAGTCAAAATACTCAGAGTTCTTCAGGGAATACCACCACTTAGATGCCTCCACGAGAGTATCCCGGAAGTATTTCCTCTGGCAAAACAGTTTCTAAAAACTAATGCCTTGGATAGATCTGCACATTCAGTATTCTTGGAGTAAACACTCTGCAGGCAGTGCAACAGAAAAAACAGGAGTAACACAATAATACCCTTTGCTTTCCAACTATTCAGGACCAGTGTAGGAAAGACATATAAACAGTCACAATGGAAAAGTGGACTTAGCTGAACTGGTGAAAAGAGCTATGGGAGGAAAAATGAATGGCCAAGGACTTATTCCTGGGAGTAGAAAGACATTTCTCTTAAAAGAAGAAAGTGAACTCCTATGGGAAGGGTAGGACTCTGTCCTGGAAAAATAAGACGAGCATTCAGGGGTGAGTACAAGAGTTCAGAAAGCACAGCACATGTTTGGAGATGGCCAACAGTCTACTGGGGATGGAATGCAAGGTATCTGTCTAAGTATAATGAGGCTGAAGAGGGTGCAACCAGCCATGGGTCCCCAGCTAAGAAATAAAAAGTCTTCTCTTATGAGCAACAAGAACACCCTTTAAAAATAATAAAAGGAATGCTGTTTTGACTGCTATGTAGAAAATGGCTCCGAAAAACAAACAAACAAACAAACAAACAAACAAACACAGGAATTGGCAGCATGGAATGCAGTTGCCTAAAAATCCACTGACAGCCTCCTATAAACCAAACACCATTTCAAACACTCTACTGTCATTATAACCTCAGTCTACACAACAACCTTGTGAACGACAATACTGCTTATCGTGTTTTATAAAAACTGTGAAAGCAACCGAGGCTCTGGGTTAACCAGTCTCGCTTCTAGCATGGGATGAGCTCGCGTCTCAGAGACCAAGGTTGTCCGACTATAAAAAGAGCCGACGAAACAGGAATGGTAGCGTCTCCACTTTAGAAGTGACAAAGGGGTTGGCGAGCAAAATCCGAGCAAAGTATATGTGCGTGGTGGTGCTCAGCGAAGTAGGAATTTGCACCCGCGAACCTCCAGCAACCCATCTACTCCCTCGGTTTGGAGGGCGCCTGCGCGAGTCTCCCCACCTGGATGAGCCCGCTGAGGACGCCGAAGAGCCAGTGCTTGCTGTAGACCGTGCTCCCAATGCAGTCTCCGCCGGCCAGGTCCTCCTCGTTCTCCTGATCACAGCCAGGCGGCGGAGGCGACGGGTTACGGTCCATGCTGGCGCCCACGAGCGCGCCGGAAGCCCTGGGGGAGGCGAGAGGACGTGCCAGAGAGCCCGGCTCGCCTCCCTACAGCGCCCCCTGCCGTCAGACTCCTGAATGACCCGGGAACCTGTAGAACGGGCGGGATCTCCAGCAAGTGGTCCACCCAGGACCGGGAGTGAGCACAGTATTACCTTTGTCTGGAAGGAAGATGGGTAAAGGGAAAGGGGGAAAAAGAGATTCTCAGCCAGGGAGGAGGAGGAGGAAGAGTAGATGCTTGAATGTGGGACTTTTATATACATGAAACAAAACTTTTAAAGTTTTAGATCTAGAAGAAACTGTAAAGGAATTTTTATGGCCTCAGAGATGGGGGTTGGGAGGTGTTTCCTAAAACACACAGAAGCCTGATGTGAGAAACTGCCACGTTTCTCAGACTGGGGAGATGGCTCCGCGGTTAAGAGCACTCACTGGTCTTCCAGAGGATCCGGTTTTAGTTCCCAGCTCAAAACTCGATGTTAACTCCAGTTCCTTCCTTTTCTGGCCTCTGAGGGCACCAGACATGCACACACACATACGGGAGACACATTAAAAAAATTAACTGCTACCTGTCTCACTATAGACAGATCACTATTTATACTCTACATAGACAGATGAGGTGTAAAAGCCTCAGTTGGACGTGGTGGCCACACCTGTCACCTTAGCACCTGAGAAGCCGAGGAAGGGGATTGTCATAAACTTCAGGCAGTCCGCTTCTCAACGGTGCCCTGTCTGGTATCTTTTCAAATGGGGGAGGCGATTAATCTATAAATGACGTATGCTCATTATCGAGAATAACAAAACCTTATACAACAATTAAACCTGTAAGGAAGAGAGGTCTCATTAAGAAAACAGTCAGAGCTTCCCCCCCACTTGTGTGCGGCCGCGGGGAGCCGGCTCTCTCCACCGGTCTGGCCCCGTCCTCACTCAGGAGTCCGTCAGCGGCTCCCGGGACTGAGCGGCCCCGGCTGCCGGATGCTTCCGCCCCGGCTGCAGCGGGCTGGGCTGGACGCTCAGCGCCCCGGCTCGAGCCCTGCCTGAAGTGCCTCCGGGGGTGGCAGCGGCCTCCGGCCCGCGGAGACGGAGCGGCTGGAGGACGAGGCGGCGGCGGGGAGGAGGATGGGCGCTAACCAGGGAATGGAGCCCGTGCGAGGCGGCCTGCTGGCCCTCGGCCACCGCCTAGGACCCCGCTGCTTGCTTCCTGCCTCGCGTCCCCGTCTCCCGGGGCTGGGGGGGGGGGGGGGGAGGGCACGGTCGCGCTGTCATCCCCAGACTGGCTGGGGTGCTCCCAAGCTCTAGCTCCTCTGAATGTGGGCCCGACTCTCGGGCGGATGATCTGTGTGCTCTCCGAGGCTTCCATCGACGACATGCGACCTCTCGACACTACCTGGCTTCCGAGCTGCCCCGCTGCGCCCCTGCCCTGCTCCTGCTGACCCTTGCCTGTCTCCAAATGCTCAGGTCTTTCAACAACTCCCAAGCCCCTCAAGTCTAGAAAGTCACAGCTGAGATGCGGATGCTAGAGTCTCCCCAAAGGTGAACAGGAGCCAACACACAAGGCAGCCTCATGAAAATGAATGAAGCTAAAAATTTATCTAGAAAATAGCTCCGTTGAATTATTTAGAGATCACGGAGGTGCTCCTTTCCTAGATTCTGAAGACCATTTCCCAGGTGTGGCCACAGTGGATGACGTGACCAGTAGAGAAGGAAGGGAAGCCTTGTTTATTCTATCATCCAACTTTCACAACTGCGAACACACGGAGTAGGGTTTAAAGACTGGCTCCCCTGTGGTTGCAATTGCAATTGCAAAACCCCGTATAGAGAATAATGCCATAGTGAGATGCAACTTTGGGTTTGCTCTATTGCCTTTGTTACTTAAGCTTTAAAAACAGAAGCCTGAAATTTTCTTGTATGTGCACTGACAGAAGAAAAATGCTCCGTCATTATTTCTGTTGGCTTAAAACTACTTAGAAGAAATTCAACAGTGGGAGTCTTGGTTTTTATATACAGCTCTAAGCTCTTCTTAGTATTGTTTATACGTTTTTAAATGAGCAGGGAACTACTGATATAAAGGGATTCCTCTTTCCATACCTGGAGTTAGCGTTGATGGGGCATATGATCTGCCTGTAACTAGAAGTGGGGCTTCTAGCAGGTTCCATTGTAAGTATGGAGATGAAAGGAGGTGGTTAACAGGCTAGGAAAAGTGAGCGATGATAGAAAAAGTTGAATAACAAAAGATTCTAGAAGAGCATATGGCTAACAGCCTACACTACTGGTTAGAAATTATTCTCTGGATTTAAACTTGTTGAATTCTGTTTCATGAGGATTCTTTCTTTGGACTTAATATTGCCCTTTTATTATTTTAGGGTCTCCTGCCCATCAGACTTTGGATATTTTTTAATTGATGAAGACTATTATAAACTATCCCTCTGGATATGTTTTACTCTGGAGAATATATATTGAAATATCATCTATATTTTAATAACGTAGGATATGCAGTGACTAGTGTCCATGGTTTCAGAATCCCAAAGAAATCTGTAGAGTTTTGCTTTTTAGATTAAATTGAAAATGCATTGCATGACATATAGTGTGTGTTGTGTGAATTGGGGGAAATCATTACTAGTTTCAAAGTGGCAAGGGCAAGGGATGATATTCCAACCAATGCTTTTCAGGGGAAAAGTGGTTTTAAATGATGGTAAAATATGGATTAATTAAGAAGAATGCATTCCTCCTGTCACTCTAGTACATAGTTGCAGAGAAAGCAGACAGACAAAAGGGTTAAGCGACCTTCCCAGGTGACTAAAAGCAGGGTCTAGGATTTCTAGATGATGCTCCTCACTCAGTGTTGTCTCTATTGAATGATTTCCTCAATTATTTCCTACACATTGTGCTATTTCATCAAGAGGAAGAGAAGCATTTGGATAAAAAGTTTATTAAAAGAGAAAACAGCCAGAATGGAGAAATAGGCCACTTACAAGAGAGGAAACGGAACTGCAGGAACTAGTAAAGCATCTGCAGGCCTGATGCTTTGAAGACACTTGAAGATGTGGGGTAGAGTCAGTGGAAGCACACACGGGCGCCAACTCTGCCTGAGGTGCTAGGTTCAGTCCCCGTTTATAAAGACAAGTAAACCCAACAGGAGTGTAAGTCCTTTAGTTTTTCCTTTTTATTGTAGAAACAATCTTATTTTACATATCAACCCCCCCATGCCACTCCCCACCCACTCCCCAAGGATAGTGAGGCCTTTCCAGGGCGTATCATCAAAGTCTGTCGCATCATTTGGGGGAGGTCCTAGGCCCTCTTCCATGTATCTGGGCTGCAATAGTATCCCTCCATAGGGAATGGGCTCCCGAAGTCCATTTGTGCACTAGGGATAAACACTGGCTCCACTGTCAGAGGTCCCATAGACTGCCCAGGCCTCCTAGCTGGGAACGTAAATTTAAATCGGTGTAAGTGCTTTACATCCACAGGTTGTAATCTGACCACTCTGACTTTAAACAGGACAGCGGAGAAGGGAGCACTTTCACACAAGGAAGAGAGACTTCACGTGAGCACAATTACGGTTCAGGGCAGTATGATCAATGCTGCTCGATTTCAAGAATGGTGACCTTTTTTTAAAGGGTTAAAATGTGTCCTACTTGCACATTTTGAAAGACGCAGACAAGGCTAGGCCGAAGGGAAAACACCAGAGGCCATTGAATAGACCAAGTATTAGCATTCTTTTATGAAACTTACATTTCTATTGCACACAAAAAGCCACGTGTTTCACAGAGGGTCTGTCTTGCCCACCCCCGCACACTGGGTGGGGGAGGGTGTATTTAACTGCCATGCTGAGGTATGCCAGTCATTCATTAGTAGTTGGTTTATACATTACATCATTTTAAACGTCAGTATCCACTGGTGGGTGTTTCTTCTTGCTTTGCTTCTTTCTTTGTTTGAACAGGGTCAAGCTATAGCCCAGGCTAGCCTGCTACTCACCATCCTCCTGCCACCACCTCCAGCAGCTAGGATGACAGGTAGGTGACACCATGCCCAGCAACTCCAAATGAGGCTTTGGTTTTGGTCTTTTTGTTTTTGTATTTCTTTTTATCTACAGGCCATGCTACTACACTGATGTTTGCATACATGTTTTGCGAATTTTCTTTTCTCTTAGAATCTCAGGGGCAGGGAATTGGATTAGTTGTGATTCTTGATTATGATTTCTCATTACCCAACCAAGTTTTCTTGGTCCCTCTCCTCCAGAATTACTTTCTGTAACTGGAAAGTAGCTATTTTTATCTCTTTTCTCTTTACCAATGCCCCTTTCTGTTGACCTTGAATGAAAACATAGGTCAATTCATGCTTCTCTGGTTACTCATAGGAAATCAACAATCTTGTCTGATTTTAAACCATAACCTTGAAGAATTGCTTTAATTCATCATGATGCCTGCAAACCATGAGACATAATGATTAGGATTTCCTGTTCACTTACAGTGCATTTTCTCTCCCCTTTCCTAATTCAACTCATTTCTTTTTCTTTGTTAGAAACAAGCTTGCTTCACATGTCAATCCCAGCTCCCTCTCCCTCCCCTCCTTTCCTACCCCCTTAACCTCCCCACCCCCCCATCCAATCCCTACTCCACTACCCAGGGAGGGTGAGGCCCTCCATGGAGGATCTCTAGAGTCTGTCATTTCATCCAGGGCAGGGCCTAGGCCCTCCCCCATGTGTCCAGGCTGAGAGAGCATCCCTTGATCTGGGATGGGTTCCCAAAGCCCATTTGTATGCCAGGGATAAATACTGATCTACTACCCAAGGCCCCATAGATTGCCAAGGTCTCCTCGCTGACACCCAAGTTTAGAGGGTCTGGATCAGTCCCATGCTGGCCTCTCAGCCATACATCTGGGGTCTATGAGCTCCGCCTTGTTCAGGTCAGCTGTCTCTAGCTGTCACCAGCACGGACTTGACCCCTTTGCTCATCACTCCTCTCTCTCTGCAGCTGGGTTCCAGGAGTTCAGTTCAGTGTTTAATTCAGCTCATTTTGAATAGGCTCTGTAGACTGGGGATGGTAACTTTGTTTTTTCTTCTTTGTTCTTCCTCACACAGATGGCCAGCTGCACTTTCTGACCCCTCCTAGAAGGAGGAGGGGCAGGCCGAAGTGAGATGGGGCAAAGGAAGAAAAAGTCATACCCATGACAATTTCATAAGATGGTTCCGTGTTCTCTGGCTCTAACAGCTATTTTAGCTGACACCCATCCCCCCTCCCCTTCCCCTCCCTCCCTCCCTCCCTCCCTCCCTCCCTCCCTCCCTCCCTCCCTCCCTCCCTCCCTCCCGGTGTGTGTGTGTGTGTGTGTGTGTGCGCGCGCGCGCGCACGTGTGCTCACTCGCGCATGTGAGCGCTGTCTTTTTTCCCCAAGGTGCTAGAAATTGATCCTTGGGCATGGTAGGCAATGACTCAGCTGTTGAGATACATTGCCAGCCTATGAAAGTGGCAAAATGTCAGTCAATACAATTGCTAGTTATAGCAAATCCTTTTTGTTGGGTCTGGCTTCAAACTAGCTGTGTGACTTGGATGTGTGATTTAAGCTGTCTATGCCCCAAGCTGCCCATGGGGCAGGATAATCAAAGGGTAAGAATCCAATGGAACAGGAAAATAAGAATTGAGAACAGTGCTCACCTAGTGGCCCCTGGTCACCTAGACAGGAAGTGGGGCTGTCAATCAAGTCATTCAGCTGTTACCTAGCGTTAGAGCAGGGGGTCAGATACACTCATTCCAAACTCTGATATAGACAAGCTGATTGTCAAGAAGGTGTGGACAGAGTGTTATGGGGATACAGGATTTGGGTTATGGATCTACTGAGCTTCAGGTGAGATTCCCTCCTAGTCTAGAGCAGGGAATGAGGAGAGAGCAAGGGGAAATAGCTTTGAAATATTTTTTTTGGACCGGGGAAGATATTCTTGTTCAACTGAAAGGAAAGGACAAGTAATACCAGTGTTTGGTGAGTCAGTTCAGGAACAAGCTAGAGTGCTGTCAGATACCTGAGAAATCCTTTCCCCAGATTCCTAGTGAGTTCATTGGTGGAGGATTAAGTGTCTAGAAGAAGGCACAGGATGTCTGGTACTCGCTGGTGACAACAGAAAGGACAGGCAACCATATGTGAGTGGATGACAGGAAGGAGGCCATGGCTAAGCCAGCTGACCTTGGACCAGGAGGAGCAAAGACAACACAGGCCTCAGCTCCAAAGGAAGATGAAGGGTGGAGGTCTGAGAATCCACACTGTTTTGTGCTGGTGAATGAGGTTAAATGGAGGTCCCCAGGTTTAAGTGATGTTCACTTTCTTAGCTGACCTTTCTTTCAGGTGTGGTGAGGGAGGTGCCAGAGATTTCCTGTCCCAGAGAAAATGGTTGCATAACATGTTGTCTTCTCTCCAGAACTATCTTTTACAAAATGGGAGGGACTTGTCCGTTTGAAGGGTTAAGAGTATCTATAGAAGCATCTAGATCTGAGACTTTCTTTGTGGAAAGTGTCAATCTTTTAAAGCACTTACAGGATGGTTTTGATTTCATCTTTAGTCTTTTTACTTATATTTTGCTAAGTAAGAATTTATTGATGTTTCGTGGGGAGGGTATGGGGATGGAAGCTAGGGCCTCATTCATGCTAGGCAATCACTCTGTTACCAGGCTACACTCTTAGCCCAGAACGTGCTGGGTACTAGCTAGTCTTCAACTTCATAATCAAAATCATAAACAGGGCTTTCATGCTATCGGCCTGTTTTTGATGGGATACATAATGTATGTTTTGACCCATCTACAGACATTTATAGTAACATTCCAATTCCCATCTTTTCATTTCTCTTTCTTAAAAAAACAAAAACAAAACCATTCCCATGGTCCACAATCCTCATTACAACTTCCCTATGCTCTTACAAAATGACAGTGACATGTAGCATTTCACAGGTATTTATTCTAAATTTCGGGGTGCTTAGACGTCCAGAGCTCAGGAACTAACTTAATCTAGTAAATGCAACCTTGGGGGCTGCATGGCTGGGAATAGCATGAAGATGAAACTCAGTATTTACTAGGCAGGCCAGCAGGTCGAAAGTGGTTGGGGTCTTTACCACTCCGGCCCCATTTGTTGGCAAACTGGTCAGCTCTTGAGTCCGCTGCTCCACGTCCTGTGAACCTCTGAATACCCTCTCTGGCATCACTGTATTCAAGACAGACAAGAAGAAGAGCCATAACCACGCGGAAGGCAGTAGCCCCACCCTCTGGACTCCTCTCTCCCAGAGGTGGCTGTAAGAGTAGCCCAGGAAGTAGAGGCTGGTACTGATGCTGCCTGAGTGAGCAGCTGCTCAGTGCAGGATGTCAGCCTCATGCTGGAGGAGCAGCACCAGAGGAGAGAGGTTGGGGTCATGCATCACTGCCAGCCTCTCCCAGTACTGCGCACAGAAAAGAGGAAGGCTAACGGGCAGCGTGCACAGGATGCAGAGGACACCTGCCTCCTGACTGTCTAAAGCAGTCAAGCTCTGCTCACTGAGGCCTCTGTTACCTGATCACTTTAGCAGCCCAGGCTCCTCCTGGTCCCCTTTTGGCAGCATCATAGTTCCCCCGGGCATGGAAGTATTTATCTGAGTTTTTCCAGTTGGCCTCTCTCATGTCAGAGTAAGCTCTCCACATGTCTCTACTCCCTGGAGAGGGAAGAGAATGGTGAGGAAGATTGTGTTTAGGCAAAATGGAGCATTAAAACTTCCTTCCAACTCAGCCCAATGATTCAGCCTTTCACAAGCCCACAGAAACGCTGCTGGCTTTCAATGAATAGTTCTTACTTCCCCATGACTGTGCAGGAGAAGTGCATTTAGAGCAAGTTTTATTCTGATGGATTCCTGTCTTAGCTCTGTTGCTGTTGGTCTTGGCTGCTCAAAAAGCATATCGAGGAGAGACCTCTAGGGGATGTTTCTTCATATGATGATGAAACTCTCTCTCTAAAATGGTCCAGGGAAGTTTCTGTGAGAACACGAGGCCTCTTCCCTTCCTCCTCTCCCCTTCCTTCTTGTTCCATTCCTTTCCTTTCTCTTACGTTCTCTTCCTTTAGAGACCCTGTGCATCTCTGTATAACCCTGTACGGCCTGAAACTCACAATCCTTCTGCCTCAGCCTCCCACGCGCTACAATCTCCACTGCAGCCACAGCTCTCCCCTGCACAGGCAATGGGAGCAACTGCTCTCCAGGCAGACTGAGTGCAGTTCTGTCCTGCATCCACGGAGTGTCCAGGGTCTATGTCAGCCTGAGCAGTTCTCAGCACTCCCTCAGCAGAGGACAACAGTGAGTTCTCAGATACAAACTGAGACAGCTGGATGGTCAGAGACTCTAGGTGGCAAAGGACACAATGGGTTTACAACTTCTACATCCTCTCCAGAGCAGGGAAGAGTATTAGACACCTTGGAGATTATACAGAAAACCGAGAAAATGCATGTGGGATGGTCATGGAGGATACTCAATGTATCGTCATCTCACTTCTCTGCTCCTCAGGACGGTGCCACAGACAGCAAAAGTTCTAAACTAAGGAAGCAGCGGTGTGCTGTGCAGTGAAATAATCATGTCCAGATAACATTAAATGGGAACTGTCTTCAAAAGTAATGAGTTATGGGGGAGGGAAAGCCCACTACTTAGGTTCATTTAATTTGTATCCTGCTGTGGCCTGTGGGATGTATTTCCCTTGGTGACAGTTCCTAGTCCATGTCTCTGTTCCAGCAGCCTGTAGTCCAGGTAAGTCAGTCATTCCCTTCTGTGTGTGGTGGAGGATCTGGAGCTTCCTTCACAGGAGCTGCCTTTCCTAACCCATGGCCTGCTGCCTCTCAGGTAAACAGTGAGCGTGTGCCCATCAAGTCCTCTCTCTCTTCTGGGAGCTGTGTAGTGGACTCTGAGGATCTGGACAATCTGCACTAACTTCTGCTCTTCCAGGGATTTTGTTAGGTAGCCTATGTATGCTTTGTGCCTCAGTTTCCTGAAAGAGTAGATGTGGCACCTACACCAAAAGATTAATTTAAAAATTGATTCCTTTCCACACATAATGCCCCTTGGACAATGTCTTTTCACTGCTCTATTAGCCTTGACTCCTGTCACTGTGGATTGGGGACTGCACAGGTTTTCCTGTGCCTGGTCTGGAATATTGTACACTTGAGATACACTTTGTCTCACAGCCACATAGAAATGAGCTGTTCATCGTCTTCCACAAGGGGGCAGCAGATCCCTTCTTTGGCTGGTGAATCTGCATCTTACAAGGACAGATTGTTCCTACATTCCTGTGGGAAAGCTGCAGACAAACATTACGTGATCTCAGGCTTCGGATCCTCACAGAAAAAGGTCAACACTGACCAGAAAAGTTCAGAACTACACAGGAAGAGAGACACTGCTTCTCTGTCCATGGGGACTTCACAAGGATGTTTTCCCTTAATTATGTGGTCCCTGCTCTGGTAAGTACTTGAAACTCACACGTACAACCTCCTGCCCCCATCCTTTGTCCTTACCTTGGCCAGCTTCTTTCATGAACTGGAACCACCTTTGGCTGTCAACTCCCAGGATCAAGAAGCAAAAAATGATGGCAAGGAAAGGCTTCATCCTGCTTCAGGGCCAGGAAAACACAGGATGAATATGCCATTTCTTGGGGTGGAGGATGCTTCTGTAATGTTGAGCTGTCCTCAAATTCCAGTAACAAATCCAACTGGATTTTATACATAAACCCACACACTTGTAGAGACAGGTGATACAGTGGATTCCAGGGAGTTATCTAGATCCCCATTTCTACCTGTTTCACTAGAATCCCACTGTCTGATACTTTGCAAATGGACCATTACTTTAAAGCACATTATATTTCAGTTTTGCCAGCTGAACTACAACTGTATAGGAAGTTTCCAGAGAGGCATGTGGGGGCTTCATAACCATCATACCTCTCTGCAGTCTGTCTGTAGAAGACTGACTCCACCCTTCCCTGAATTCACATAGAAGCATACAACAAATCCCCATGCTAAAAGTATAGCCTCTGATGAATTCTAATCCATCTAGTAGATTCAGGAAAGAGACAGAGCACAAGAACACAACAAATGAATGCTGGTGGGGAAAAGAATCTGCAAAGAGCAAATGTAGGGAAGTTCTGACGACTCACCTTTCGAGATGCCTGGTGAGTGACTCTTCTGACTTGTCAAGGAGATGTGCCTGGGACTGAGTGACAGATGTGTATATATACTGTCATTCGGCTAGTGGAGCAATCCCGTTTCATCTTGCATAATACCACTTGGCCATAATAGATTTCTCTTCACACAGATCTGCTTTTCCCAGATTGTGCAATCCAGCTATTTTCAGGAATGTGGCAAGTTAGGGATTTCAGAGTCTTCTCCATCCTGACTGGGAATAATCAGGATGAGTACTTTCCATCCAGTGATGTGGTGCCATTTTCTAATGAAGGGGAATTAACATTGGAAAAAGAAATATGAGTATGTAATAACCATGGGGCACATGGCAAATCCAAAGGCTGAGCTAATGTCCTTTCAGAGCATAGTTCAGAATTAAGCTTGGAAACAGAAGAAAGGGAGGGAAAAGTTGATTTTAGCATCCACATGGGTGGGCTCAACACTGGGAAAGGACTTCTCCAGACTCAGGTGTTTTTATTCATGAGCAGTTGTTAGGGAAGACAAGAGAGCTGATTAAATTCAGAAACCATGACAAGCCAGGAACATGAAACAACAGTACATGAATTTGCTTGAAGGGTGTGAAAAAATAGCTCACCATAAGCATGCATGAGGAAGGCCCACTGGCTGCTAAGTTATACTAACACTGGCTGCTAGGTTATACTAACACTGGCTGCTAGGTTATACTAACACTGGCTGCTAGGTTATACTAACACTGGCTGCTAGGTTATACTAACACTGGCTGCTAGGTTATACTAACACTGGCTGCTAAGTTATACTAACACTGGCTGCTAAGTTATACTAACACTGGCTGCTAAGTTATACTAACACTGGGCTCAGGCAGAAAGTGGGAAAACACAACACAGGAATGCTGGGAGATAACATCAGCAAACAGCTATGGAGCTAGAAAACAACACTCGGTTTTGCTACCTATGTTTACCTTAGAAAAAAACCATTCAGGCCATGGGGCACGGCTGCAGTTTATTTTGTCTCCCCACCCCTTTAATAAAAGAAGAAAACGAATGTATTGACTTCCCTAGAGAAGGAATGGGCATCGCTGCTACATGGCAAGGGTGATGAGGGCGTCACATTCGTTCCTCTGTTCTACAGGACCCTGGGCTGGAGCCTGAGGACAGCAGTGGAGCCAAAAAGTGCCCAGCCAGAAATAAACAGCTCAGATTTTTTCCTGAAACTTTTTGTTACAAGAAGAGGCCTGTGAATATTTCGCTGGAGACACAAGCTCATGTAACAAACCGTGTAAGCTGGAAGATGGTGAATAACAGCCAGAAGAAGGAACAGCAGCTGAGGAGAATGGAAGTGAAGAGCTTCCTGTTTGATGCAGACAGGGTGCTGTGGTGGTGGGGACGCTGGTAAAAGCGATGCAGGATGAAGCAACCAGGCAAGGGTGGGCACACGTTTGAGAATAGTTGTCTTAGAGCCTTTGCGAGTGATGCCTTTTTCTAGGTTGGTCCTGCATCTTAGTCATTTATTGGCACTATGACATGAGAGATACAAGGGAAAAGGCTGTCAAATGATTTTCACCTCTTGGTCCCTTGCCAAGGCAATGCCATGCCACATTTGACTCCTCCTTGCATGACTTCCATTCCTGGGGAACGGGATTCTCTGGTGGCCTGAGGTCTGGCTGGCTAGGCGTATATTTTTCTAGCAATAGGCAGTGAGCAGCAGCTACAACCTCCCACACTCTCAGGCTGTGGACCTGCTTGGGAAATTGCTTTTCATAGGACTGCATATAAAGCCTGCCCCCCCTCCTATTCTGACTTCCTTGGGATAGACATTTGTTACAATGTTTATGTACTGACCTCCTCAGCCATTCTATACTCAAAATTCACTTCCCACAGGACCACTCTTTTGACCCACCCTCCTCCTTCCCCTTCAGTTTGGTTTTATGTGTATTTCGTTTGGCTGTGTGCCCATGCACCACGTGCATGTCTTATACCCATGGAGGTCAGAAGAGGTTATCAAATGCCCTGGAACTGGGGTTATAGATGGTTGTGAGCCAACATGTGATATGGGGGATTGAACCCAGGTCCTTTGGAAGAGCAGCCAGTGAGTGCCCTTAACTGCTGAACGATCTCCCCCCACCCCCACCCTCTTCTTTGATTGAAATATTAGAAGAGAAATGAGTTCTTCCCTAGACATTAAGAAGAGCTCTTCTCATGAACATTTTCTTTATTAACAATAGTTTAATAAATCTTTGGGGATTTTATCCAATGCATTTTGTTCATTTTCACACCTCATCCTTAAATCCACTCTCACCTCCCTACCCACCCAACTTAAAGCTTTCTCCTTCTTCTTTCCCCATTCATGAAGTAAGTCCTGTTTGAATGAGCCAAACATTTGGAGATGGCATCTGCCCTAGAGGTTGGTCAACAAGGGGTCATATCACTGAAGAGAACTGACCCTTCCTCTGCTAGCAACAACCAAGGCCAATGTCTTCTCAGCTGGGAATGGGATTTTGTGTCCATCTCACTCCTCTATGCTGGGTTTTGTCTTCTTTGAGCTTGCCCAAGTCTTGCTCACACTGTCACAATCTCTGTGATCGCCTATGCAACTGCCCTGCTGTGTCTGGAACACTGTCTTTTCTTCAAGACACCCATCACCTCTACCTCTTACATTCTTTCTGACCCCTACTCCAAGAAGACCCCTGTCCTTGTAGGATGGGGTGTGATAGGTAAGTCCAGGGAGGTTTTTCTTTATTGCTCATTTTATTGTCACACAACGTTGTCCTTTTTCATTAATAAAGTGTCTCCTTGGAATGGATCCCCCGAGAAGAATGCTGTCTGTCTTGCCTCATTATCATCCAGATACTTTCCTGGGTTCCTTAAGAAGTTGCTGAGTAAATACAAAGGGAGATGAATGCAATCTGTGAGCCTATTTACGTAAAGGTAAGACTGGAAGAGAATTTTAAAGGACTCCAAATGTTTGAGGGAAGCATGCCAGTTTGGATGGTGCTGTGTCTAGCCCACATTTAACACAGATTGATCCACAGTGCACTGCATCACTCCAGCAATGCAGGAATAGCCCACATCAGACCCAACACCAGCTTACAGTAAATGGGCCCAACCTGCATTTCCCACAGATTAGTCCATGGCATTGGGTTATTGCCTGAAAGTTTGGAAGGACTACACAAATAACGAACCTGTGTCTAAATACAGCACAAAATGTTCTCTGAGTGTGAGCCTGAATTTTTCCTAACTAGAAATTTCAAATGGTGAACGTGGAAAGTCCCAGAATTGCACAATGCCTCTTTTAGTAACTGAGTTTGAAACTTTGCTGATGAACCCCTCTTTCCTGTTGCCTACAGCTGAGTTGACAAAGAGGCTCTGATTGTTCTGCATCCTGGAGAATTAATGCAAGAAGCTGAGCCTGACCTGAGAGCCCCCAAGGTCCTTGAGGAGGCAGGAGTGCAGGTTCTCAGTCCCAGCCTCTCCTTACCCTCTCACTCCTGCTTTTGTGCATATGGGAAGAACTCAGGAAGTGGAGGGGACAGCTAGCCTACAGTGCTTGAGGGCTGCCTTTAAGGCTGCTTTAAGCTGACCCGCCTTTAGAGTTGCCTGGGACTGTAGGGACTTTCAGTAGCCACAGGAACAGAGTTGTCCTTCTGTGAGGAAAAAGTAGTTGTGGAGCTAAATCTCTTCCTGTGGGGTCAGGTGCCCAGAAGAGAATGACAAGTTCCCTCAGCTCTCAGCAGGTTGTATAGCAGGTGATACAGCCGGATAGCTGACCCCAAGCCCTGCCCGACAGACGGAGTGTAGTGAGAGGGTTCTGGGGGGAAGCCCCTGAACACCCCGGTGCTTGCTCCTCATCTTGGCAATTTGGAAGGATGGTGTAGCCCATACCATCAGAGTTCGACGGGTATTGTCAGTGTGCAAGACAGATAGGATGATGTTCTATTCATCTCTGCCACTTGGGTTGGAAAGACCACTGAGTTTTGACTGAATACATTGGCTAGGGGAAGGGAGGCAACAACTTACCCAGGCAACAGTGGGTGAAGCTGCTCCTCTTTCCACGGATAACCTCCATTGCTGAGGGACTGATGGGGGGGTGCAATTCCTCTCAGGAGCAGCCATTTCTGCAGAGACCCCCAGGTCTACATAGTATATTAGTGTGATTAGGACTACCTCAGACTCCACTGAGGCCCTGGTGATACTCCTTCCCTACACCAATCCCTTCCCCCAGTCCTGAGGCTGGGAGGCCTGATGGCAAGACACCTCCAAGTCACTATAGCCCTCACTCCTCCAAGTGTCCCAACAGCCAGGTAGCCCCTAATGTGGGAGGGGTGCTTTACAGCAGACCTGTTACTGGTATTGAAACAGGACTGTGGGAATTTCAATAGCCAACAGTAACCCAGTGGACAGGACAGAGAAGAGAATTTTACCTTCACAGTCTAACCATGGTTGGGGAAAACAAAGGCACTTGGTGGTAAAGCTTCCTAAACCAGCACTCTAAACTGGCTGTGTTTAGGTAGCATATGTCATTTTTCTGACTAAGTTCCTTTATGCTTGGCACATCAGAATCACACCCTCTTCCCCCAAGATGCAGGGACCATTGCAAAAGAGGAGACAGGAAGGGAACAGGAAGACTGCAGGAGGCAGACATGGTGGATGACTACAAGGAAGTTGTTTTCCTCACACAGCCCCTGCTTGCACATAGCAGTTGTGACAGCATGCACATTATCTGCACAAGCTCAGGCCAGAAAAACATCCCAGCAGGGAGAAGGGACATAGGCACAAACCGCACCTCTATTGGCAGTTGATAGCTGCTGGGAGAAGGAGAGTGGGTTTTCTTTAAGAGTTCAGGCCCTTGTAAGTCAGTCATTCTGTGGTGAAGGGCCTCACACCCAAGGGTGTATGAGCAGAACAAATTAGGCTTGGTGAATTAAAACAAATCCAAGAGAACATAAGGTAGGTCGGTATAGACGTCAGGGTGGGCCTGGGAGGAGCTGTCAGAAGAGATTTGTCATGTTAGCTATGGCTGTAATAAACACCATGACTGGGGTGGCTTGAGTGAAAACAGTCCCACAGGCTCATACATGTGAATGCTTGGTCTATAGTTGGTAGGACATTTTGGGAAGGGTTAGGATGTGTGGCTTTGTTGGAAGAGGTGTGCCACCGGGCATGGGCTTTGCATTTTTAAAAGCCCATATACCATTTCCAGTTCTCTCTCTGTCTCTCTCTGTCTCTCTCTCTGTCTCTCTGTCTCTCTGTCTCTCTCTCTGTCTCTCTCTCTCTCTGTCTCTCTCTCTCTCTCTGTCTCTCTCTCTCTCTCTCTCTCTCTGTGTGTGTGTGTGTCTCCATCTCCCCTCTATTGCTTCATGGTTATTATCCTAATATGTAAGCTCTTGGCTACTCCTCCAGCCTGTCAACTTGCTGCAATTCTCTCTGCCATGATGGACTCACCCTCTGAACTCTGACCCAGCCCCCAATTAATACTTCCTTCTAGGGGCTGGAGAGATGGCTCAGAGGTTAAGAGCACTGACTGCTCTTCCAGAGGTCCTGAGTTCAATTCCCAGCAACCACATGGTGGCTCACAACCTTCTGTAATGAGATCTGGTGCCCTCTTCTGGTATGTGCAGACATAGATGGAGGCAGGATGTTGTATTCATAATAATAAAAAAAATACTTCCTTCTATAAATAGTCTTGGTCATGGTGTTTTGTCACAGCAATAGAAAAGTAATAAAGACAATGACAAAAAATAACTTGTGGTGGAATGAGTTTACATGGCGTGTAGGTTACAAATAGCCCATCATCAGGGGAAACTGAGGAAGGAGCTCAAGATAATTCCCTGGAAATTAGAGGACATGAAGGAATGCTGCTTATTGGCTTACTCTCCATGGAGGAATGCTGCTTGCGGACTCATTCTCCATGTTTTGCTCAACCCAACTTTCTCTTTTTGTTTGTTTGTTTGTTTTTGTTATTGTTTTTGGAGACAGGGTTTCCCTGTGTAGACCTGGTTGTCCTGGAACTCACTCTGGCCTTGAACTGAGAGATGCGCCTGCCTCTGCCTCCTGAGTGCTGGAATTAGAAGTGTAGGGAACCACTGTCCTGTTCAGTCCCACTTCCTTACACAACCCGGGTACCACCTGCCAAAGGCAGCACCATGCCCATGGTCGAGGACCTCCTACACCAACCATTAGTCACAACATGCCCCACAGTGCTGGGCAGGGTGACCCCCACCTTTAATCCCAGAATTCAGGAGAATATTTGAATATTTGTGAGTTTGGGACAACATAGTCTATAGAGACAGTTCCAGGCCAGCCAGGGTTATAGAGTAGAATCTGCTTTGAGTGAAAGAAAGAGAGAAAGATTGAGAGAGAGAGATTTTAATCGAGGCTCCTCTCCAGGTTGGCAAAAGGGGCAGCGAGGATGGGGGCGAACATAATATTATTGGAAATTCTCAAAGAAATAATAAAAGGGGAAGGAAAAAGAAAACTTAGCTTCAGTCTACTCTTTTGGCTTTGCCAGGCATGCTTTTACAAACACACACACACACACACACACACACACACACACACACACACACACACACACACACATACTGTTTCATGGTTTGGGCAACACTTGCATGTGGTTAACTAGGCCAAGTACTCTGATTGTGAAATCTGCCCTCCCCCAAGCAGAGGGTGCTGCCCCTTTGCTTCCCCAGAGCCTCTCTGCCCTTCTTCCCTCTGCATTCTGCCCTAGGAGGCTGGCCTGCGCAGATGCCCTGCCTCTGCCCTGTGCCCGTTCCAGTTTAGTTTGGCTGGGGGAACCCTAGCAGGAGCTGGGGAGAGGGGAGAGAGGTTTTATGATTTGTTCACATAACTCCTTCAAAGAGGGGTTGCCCAAAAGCAGTGTGTCTCTCATCCAAAGGTCCTAGCTCGTATCATGCCTGCCTCTCCTCAAAAGTTTCTGCCTTTGCTGGTCTGTCATTTGCCTTCCCTCCTCCCTGTTCTCAACATTGCTTACAGGAAGCACCTGTCTTTGGGGTTTTGATGAGACATGGTCATACCAAACACAGGTAATTTCTGGTTCAATAAATGGGTTGCCTGGCCTCATTTCTCTACACCGTATCAGCACTTGTCACTGCTTAGGGCACACTGCTATTTCCACCATGACTGACTGTGTTTTTTCCTGACAGAATCCCCATGGAGGCAGAAGCATCTGTGATATGGATGTCTCCTCTGCAGTTCACATGGTAGAAATTTAAACCCAGTCTCAGGTGGCAGTGTGTTTTGGAGGTTTGGAGGTAAGAAGGAATTAGAAAAGTCATGAAGATGGACCCCCATGACGGCTTTAATGTCTTTGAAGAGGAAGGGATCAAAGCTACGAGGCTTGCCCTGTCTCTCAGTGTGGTTTTCTCAGAGGGGATGTGACACACCCTCACCAGGGACAGACTCCACACTAGGGATTCCCTATGGAATCATGAACTAAATATACACTTCCAATCTTATAATGTTACAGGTAGTAGAATTATATATACCAACAGAAATCACACAGCTTTGTTGACCTAACTTAGATTTATTTCATTGTTTATTTTTATGTGTGCCCATCTCACATCATGGTGTGGTGTCACCCACATTTAGGGAGGACCTTTCCCTCTTCTTCTTTGGAAACTTCCTTAGAGACACACAATTAGCTTCACTAGTGCTGAAATAGGTTCACTTTCTTCCTTGTTATTATTTTACTTTATATTTAATTATATGTGTGTGGGAGCCCACATGAGTGCAGGTTCCCACTGAGGCCAGAGGGAAAGGAGATCCTCAGGAGCTGTGATCCCAAGTGGTTCTGAGCCTCCCCATGTGGGTGCTGGGAACCAAACTCAGGTTTTCAGAAGAGCAGCACGCTACATTCTTAACCACTGAGCCATCGCTCCAGAACCCAAATTCTTATTGATGGTCAGGGTGTGTGTAGGCAGACACCACCACACAGCTGTGGAGATCCGAGGGTATCTAGTTCTCCCCTCCCACCTGTATATGGGCTCTGGGGATTGAACTCAGGCTGTGAGACTTGCACGCCAGGAATGTGCTCACCCATCCTATCCACTCTTCTTCTCCTTTTAAAAATTAGTTAGTAGATCTTTGAGAATTTCACAGATTTTATTTGATCACATTCACCCCCACCTTCTCCCAGATCCACCTCCCACCTCCTGTGCACCCATGTTGTTGCCCTTTCTCTTTTAAAGTCATCAAGTCCCATTTGTGCCATCCAAATCTTGGATGTGTGTTCTTCCACAGGAGTGTGGTCCATCTACCAGTGTTTACACCCTCAGAGAAAACTTACTATTTATCTCCCCTGAAAGCTACCCGACCTGTTCCATCTTACTGACCCCCAATCTCTGTGGGAACTCTAACTGAAACACAAATATCTACAAATTCAAAGGCACATCCACAACAGAGATAAAGCATGTGATGTTTGTCTTTCTGATTCCAGGTTACCTCACTCCAGATGATTGTTACAGCTCCATCCATTTCCCTGCTTTTTTTAAAATTTTGAGACATTGTCTTGAGTATCAAAGAGTGATCTATAACTGTGTACCCAAGGATGACTTTGAACTTCTGAACGTCCTGCCTCCACCTCCTAAATGTGCTACCAAACCCATGCAGTGCTGGGAATAAAATCTAGGATTTCACACATATTGGCAAGTACTCTGCCAACTGGTCTACACTGCCAGTATGCAAAATTACATTGTTATTATTATTATTATTATTATTTTAATGTGAGGAGTATATACCTGTATATTTGCATATCTATGCCTCTTGTGTGTTTGTGCTTGTATATGTGCCTCTGTGTGCTTGTGCCTGAATGTGTGTGTGTATTTTATTGTAACACAGGGTCTCATTTATCCCAGGCTAGTCTGAATTCACTATATAGCCAGGGCTGGTCTTGGTCATCTGGTCTGTTAGTCTCTACCTCCCCAGGTTTACACAGTTCCAGGGATCCTCCTAAGGGTTCATTTGGTCAAAAGAACTGTATCCCTGGACTCCAGTGCAGTGTCTAGGATAGGATTCCTGAGGTTACAATGAGGCTATCTGATTCAAATCAGCAATACAGGCTGGACCTCGTGAACTCTGTCTGAGGATCCCTGAGAGGGTGCCTAGTGACCAGTGTAGAAACAGGAAGCCACATAAAGTCACACTCCTGCCCTGGTGAATTTTTCTTGTTTAAAGATCTACCTGCATTGGACAGGTGTGTGGTCTCTACTCAGAGGCACTCCTAGTTAAATATGCCCATCATCTCTGACTTCTTACCTTGTATGGCTTCCTTGAAGAATGAATACTAGCCATCACTACTGACTCCCACGAGCAAAGAGCAGAAGACAAGGACTGTGACAAACCTCATGGTGCGGCAGGAACAGAAAGAGAAATCCAAACAGACCCACAGGCTGGGCTTGTAGCACACACCTTAAATGCCAGGACTTCAAGGCAGAGACAGGTGGATCCCTTATTCTGAGACCAACCTGATCTACTAGGCAAGTTTTAGACCAGCCAAGGCTACATAGTGAGATCCTGTCCCAAACAAAGACAGAGCCACATTTTGCCTAGTAAAGATAATCTAACCTACCTTCCATCTCTGCATCATTGCTGCAAGGGCTCTTTGCCAGATCACTGCATCAGCAAAAGTTCCAGGGAACTGTGGCCTGCAGCCCATTTGTACCAGTGATGCTGACCAAAGCTGATGAACAAGCCTTTCCTAAGTCCCTACTTACACAGACCACAAAGATACAGAAATGCTGGGGCTGGAACTCAGTCCATAGCCTGCATTCACATAGTATCTGTGGCCCTGGCTTCCATCCCAGCAGCACTACACAAAGCAAGCCCAGCTGCACGGGCCTGTGTTCCCAGCACTCAGGAGGTGGAGGCAGAAGGATCAGACGATTAAGGTCATCCATGGTACAGAGCTGTTTTTAGGCCATCATGGGCTACTTGATTCCCTATCTCCAGGGGAAACCATCAGGAAACATAATTGTTCCTAATTAGAGCTTACCAGCCATATATAAAATTATCTCAGGAGTACAACATGAGTAACAGTCCCTGGAAAAGAGTGGCAGCTATGTCCCTTTCTAGTCTGAAGATGCAGAGGACATATAGCTGCTAGGACCTTGCTTCCATGGAGCAGCTACTTTCTCCTGACTAACATTGATGAGAAGAGCACTGTTAACTCTAACAAGCCTTGGCAGAATCTGTCTTGCTCAATCCTTCCTGGTAAATAAACAGTTACAGGCTGGGACTATAGTTCACTGGTAGAGGGCTTGTCTTGCATGTGTGAGGCTCTGAGTTCAATATGCAGCACAAGAAAGGAAGGAAGGAAGGAAGGAGGGAAAGAAGGGAGAAAGGAGAGAAGGAAGGAAGAAAGAAAGGAAACACAAGTATATTGAGTAATGTGCTGTTTGTTCATAAGATTTTTCTACATTACCCAAAAATGCTTGTCTTTTGACTATTTTTCCTTATTCCTATCCCCTTTCCCTAACTACGTTGGATGAAACACTGCAAGCTGTAAGCTGAAATAAACCCTTTCTTCCCCAACCTGATTTTAGTAATGGTGTATTGTCACACCAGAAGAAACCGTAACTAAGACCTGGACACAGTTCTAAAGGGCAAGGTCTCTTCACTATAGTTTTTTACAAGGAATCCTGTTTTAAAGTATATTTTAAGGTGTGTACCATGTGTTTAAGCTCTGGATCACTTGTTTAATGATGTGAATATGCATTCCTTTCGTTTGGGCTTCACGTGTTTAACTGTGAAGCTGTGATTCTTCACCTGTAAAACACCTAATGCTCTACCGCAGAGCTGAAAGGTCAATAGTGAGGCCGGAGGAAGGGGAAGCGGGGCTGCCAGGCAGAGAGAGGAAATAGCAGAAATCTGGAAGAAGGGAAAAGGGAGCCTGAGAACAAGGAGAGGAGGACGAGAGGGGCCAGCCAGCCAGCCATGGAGCAAGAGTGACAGTAAGATATACAAAAGTTAGAGAAGGAAAAGGCCCAGAGGCAAAAGGTAGTCAGGATAATTTAAGTTCAATAAAGATGGCTAGAAATAAGCCAAGCTAAGCGGGGTATTTGTAAGTAACAATAAGCTTCCATGTATGATTTATTTGGGAGCTGGGTGGCAGCCCTCCCTCCCTCCCCCACAAAGACCTAAAGAGCAACAAGTAAAAGATAATTGACAAAAGAATCCGTGTCACTTGAAACAATGCACACCCAGTCTTCAGTTTCACTCCTGTTGCTGTGGTAACACCCTGAAGAAGAGAGACTCAGAGGAGGAAAGGGTTTCCTTGGCTCACATTTCTCCATTACACTTCGTGACTTCAGGGGGTGGCAGCATTGGACAGCTCATCACAACACATCTGGACAACAGCAGGCAGAAGTGAATGTACCTATGCTGCCTGTCTGCTGTTCCCCTCAGGAAGCTTTCTTCACTCCACACAGTTAGGGCCCAGCACATGAAAGGGAACCACTCATTTTCAGGGTGGTTATGACAAAGTGCACAGAAACTAACCAGCCTACCCACTTCACTGCCTACGGGGTTAGCAACTTATTAGTTTTTTATAACTACCACAAAGAATAATGAGTAGCGTCCTCTCACATGCCATCTTGGCACGCTATGCAGCAGAGCCACTCATTTCCTGAAATGGTGGTATAACTTATCTGGAGCACTGTCTTAAAACTGGCTAAGCTTTTCAAATATCTGAATATAATAAACATTCATTTCCCACAATTTTTTCTTCTGTAATGTAAAATACAATACATTCAACTCAGAAATTTTTGGAAAATATAGAAAGATCAATAGAAATTTGAGTTGAGAAGTGCCTCAGTGGCAGAGTCTTGCCTAGCAATTGTGTGGCTCCGTTTTTAATTTCAGTACTTGGGGGGGGCAACTTTTAAACAAAGTTATCTTTTAACCATCAATGGTGATAGACACCTGTAATCTCATCACTTGGGAAGCAGGATAATGGAGAGTTTGAGGCCAGCATGGGTAAAAAGAAAGACTTTGTCTTAAAAGAAAATCACCACTTTGGCCCCAAATGACCAATATCAGTTTGAGAGATACAGTTATTATTTCTGCCTATATGTGTGTGAACAACGTGGCTGGCATCCTATGCTTAGATAGCCATGTTAATGCTTTTCTACCTTAGGAAACATACCTAATGAACATGATTTTAAATGCTCAAGTCATATTTCATAATTTGTTGAATAGTTAACCATTCTCTGTGACTGATATTTAAATTGTATGTCATGTTCAGTAATTAATTCACATCATAATAAGCAGACTCACAAATATCTGTGTAGTCTATGGCTATATTATTTCTATAGGAAAGCATCCTATAATGGATCACTTAGATACATACTGCTAAGTATCTTGTTGGAGCATAATGAATGTACTTCCCACCAGTGTCCTTCCACCTCAGATTCACTTAACACTCACCTGGAATACTTTGATAAAGCCTTTGACTTCTGAAAAGACATAGAAAATGGCACAGTTTTGATCATGACCAAGTTGACTGACTAAAAATTAATTGTCTAAAATTCTTCCTACTCCTCTTGTCTTACTTGAAAATGTAGAAAAATGCTTATGAGTTATTTTCCTAGCCTTAAAAACAGATCATTTTCAGGACTGCAATGTGCTCTGGTTCTTAGAGTACAGAAATAGCCCTTCAAGAAACCACCAGAGATAAAGATGATGGGAAGGGCGGCAACAGAGACCTAAGCCAGCTCTGAGATGTTCAAGAAGCTTGGGTGTGTACTGGATTTACTGAGACTGAACCAGGCAGCGCCTGGCACAGGCTTATATTATGACTCACATCTCTCCCCAGACCCAGAGACTTACAAGAACTCAGCTGTGTGTGAGGATGCTCAGGACCAAGGGGTGGCAGGTCCTTCTTCTTGAAATCTCTAAAGGCATCTGGGCTGATTGGGAACGTCTATGACTAAGGTGAAAGGGTTTCAGAGTTAAAGTAATAATGATTATTTTCAGAGTATCTTTTCATACATTCATAGCCCCATCACAGGCTCTGATATTTTAAATAGGACATATCAGGTTCAAACAGCAGATCAGGATTTCTGACCTGTACAAGAGTTGTGCGCTTTTCTTCTACAAATAATCTTTAGATAGAAGGAAACTATAGTTATCAAGTAGTTACAAGGTGGTAACTCTCACCTCAAATCTAACGAGTGGTTTAGTGGAATCTAGTTAATAGCTTGCTGCCTATGCTTCCCATGAAGGCAACAGAATTAGAGATGCAGGCCAAATAAAACAGATTTGTAACTGCTGGCAACACACCTGTCATCTCCTTAGCCAGAGATGTAAGAGCCAAGCATGTGGCAGCCCTAAGCTCTCTAGTGGTTAATCAGAAGCAGCTGTCAGAGAGGACTGTGGGAATGAGGCATGAACAGTGGAATACAAGAACTCCCAGGGTTCCCTCTGCTCTTATTCAGCCTTCATTTGTGCTGTTCTAAGATTTAGCTTGAGGATCCGGCTGCAGAGGTGTGGAGACTGGAAAGTCCAGCCCCATGGCACAGATTTGGCATTTAAACCCATGATGGGGAATCCAAGTTTTCAAAGGAAGGGCCATATCCAGTGGATGTACAAGGTCGCTTTTCACTTCCCCACTGTTGCCCTCATCCTAACCCTCCAGCCTAC